TGGACAACTGAAGATATGAATAATAAAAATTGTTTTTAAAAAAATATTTACTTAGGGAAGTGCATCAACGTGACATTGTCGATTTCTGATGAAAATTAAAAAAATTAAAAATCGAAAAAATAATATTGAACAATGCTTCAATATCTTTCAAGTTTAAATAGAATTAAATGGGGAAAAAAAAATTTTTTTTTTCGTAATTTTCGTATAAAACCTCGAAAATTCAATTTTTTCAACTGAATTACTTTTGTTTCTTTTCAAAATTGTTCAAAAAATGGCACACAATTGCTTTTTTATAAAATCTTTTACATTTTTTATACATTTCAATTTTTTCAACTGATCTACTTTTGTTTCTTTTCAAAATTGTTCAAAAAATGACACACAATTGCTTTTTTTATGAATTCTTTTGTATTTTATACATTTCTAAAAAATCCCTTGTAAATCCAAAAATTGAGAATTACTTTTTTTTCAATTTCCATCAGCAATTTTTTTTTTTTTTTTTTTTTTTTTTTTTTTTTTGTGTTAAATAAACGAATTTTTGTCACTTTTTTTCACATTTTTGAAGAGAAATAGGTTGAAAAATATTGATTTTCCACCCAGATGTTACATTGATGCCACTTTCTTTGTTAAAATTGAGATAATTTAAAGTAAATAATAAATTATTTTAATAAAATTTTTTTAAGTGATTTTTTAAATGCAATAGTTTTAAACTATTATTTACTATATTAATATCTATTTATTATTTACATATTAAAACGGAAAAAAAATTTACTAAATTTACTATTTAGTTTATTATTTTACTATTCATTTTTTTTTATATAATTCTAAATTAAATTAATTTAATTAACGAAATTTTCAATTATCAAGATATTAATTAAGAAAACAAGAAGAGTAATGTCCAATTCCTTCTAAATAAACCTAATCTTTGCCCTATTTTAGAAAGAGATCATAAATATTGTGGCTAAACTTTTTTTTTAATTAAAAAAAAAATTTTTTTTTTTTCAAACAAAACCGTGAACACTTTGAATAAAATAAATTCCATTCTCATATTTGTCGAAAAGAAAGATAGTAATTTAAAATAAAAACTGTTCTTATTAATTAATTTAATTAATTAACTTTTTTGATAAGTAAATTTTAATTAAGTAGCTCAAAGATTATGGCATCAAATTGTTTTTAATTTTATTAATGTGTTCTGGGGTTTGCCACTCCAACATCATTGCTGATATTTTCACTTTGATTTTCGTAATCAGCGCAATCAAAATACACTGAGAAAAAAAATAGTATTGAATCAAGAAAACCTATGTACTTGACCGTATTTTATACAAATATTTTCTTGATCCAAGAAAATTTACTTTAAACTAATAAAAATTTCTTGGATCAAGAAAATATTCGTATAAAATATGGTCAAGTACATATAGGTTTTCTTGATTCAATACTATTTTTTTTTCATTGTACATCAATATTTGTAGAATCAAAAAAATCAGAGGTATTTTTATAAAAAGTCAAAATTTTTGGAAAATTTTTAAATGTTCCGAGAAAAATTGAAAGAAAATCGTTTTTTCACAATGGAAAATTTCAAAGTTTTGTTTTTAAAAAAAAATTGAAGAATAAAGCAGTTTAAAAAGAAGATTTTAATCTTTAAATTAAAAAATGTTACGAGCAATAAAAATTTTTTAATTTCAAAAATTCATATCTTGTAAACGGATTTATAAAAAATTGAAAAAAAAACTTTTAGAAATTTTTTTCGTAAATGACAAAAAGTTAGAAAAAAAATTTTAGCCTAATTAAAAATGTCAAAGTCAGCGATATGTTGTAATGGCTTGGACCATTTATTAATATATTTATTTAGATCTATTTACCCATTGATATAACTTCAAACTAATATAATTTAAATATTTTTTGCATAATAAGTTAATTAACTACTCTATTTTGTTTCATGTAACAAATTTTGTTAAAAAAACTTTTATCATTTAAACAATTTTAAAATGTCCTTTATCTTTAATATATATATATATATATAACTACAAAATTTGAATTTACAAACTCTTGAGGCAATATTAGAGAAAAGATAATTGAAAATTTTACCAGCGTACTTGATTCAATTTTATTTAAATGAGAGTACCAAAATCGTTAACATTTTATGATAGCATAAAAAAATAATATTTTAATTATTAAAATTATAAAGTAGAAATTTCAAATTGTTGCTTTAAATTAATTATTTATTTTAACAATAAATTAAATTTATTTTAATTAATAATAATAAAAAATAAATTGAAATAGGTAGTTAAAAAAAAATTAGTTTGATGCTATGATCAATGGGTTTAGCTGATTTATTCGCTAATTTTATGAAACTTTTTTTCAAATCACAAATTACAAAATTTTCCCTTTCTCCAAAATTTATAGTTTCTAGGCTACAATAATGGGTGTTTTTTCAAAATAATTATTTTTCAATACATGGAAAAGGAAAAAAAAGCAAAAAAATAAAAAAAAGTAGAAAAATTGATATCAAGTTGTTAACAGGAGAATTTAATTATATATAGTAAATATACTTCCAAGCAGATATATAGTTTATGTTAAATAATTATAATTATCCTCACACACACACATATATATATTGATCGTGAAAGGTATTTGATTGACACACTCCTACACACTGAAAATATTATCATTTTTTGTTGTTGTTTTTTTTTTTAAAAAAAGTTATAATTAACAAGCCAACAGCTTTACATATATTTTTTTAAATACCCTCTTTTAGAATAAATTTGTTATTTTTAATATATATATATGGGGCATTCCACGAGAATATTTCATTCAAAATTTTTTTTTGTCCTAAACATTTTTTTTTTTGAATTTATGAAAAATAAAAAAATACGTAATTTCTTTTTTTCAAATAGATTTCGAAAAAAAAATGTTTCGGGCAAAAAAAAATTTTTAATGAAAATTTTCCATGGAATGTCCCATATGTATATTAAAAATAACAAATATATATTTAAAATTTAAAGAGAAACAATTTTTATTCCGTGATATGTTTTTATATTGCATGTGCATGTCTGATGTTCTGTGAATTATATAATACGCACGTTTGCGCAGCTTAATGCACGCACACGCGCGTTTTTTTCACTTCTTACATGAAGCATCAAGCATATATATATATATAAATATACGTCAAAAGTGTCAAGCAAAAGCTAAAGAGCACAATAGAATATAATGATAAAACAGCACATGTTGGCTGTTTATATTTTCACCATGTAGGTCGACAAGTTTATTTACCAAAGCAGGTAAATAAATTTTTTTTAAAAATTTTTTCGTTGATTATTTTCACTATATTGTGCTTGATGCATTTTGGTAAGACATATTTTTATTTTATTTTTTTTTTAAATTAAAGAAATTGAAAATTTTGACGATTTGTTTGAAATTGAAATTTTGAGATTTTTTTCGATTAATTGTTAATTATATTTTAGTAATATTTTTGGTACAAGAAAATTTTTTAATCCTTTAAAGGCATAATATAAAAAAATTTTACAAATTGATTCTATATTTTTGCATTAAAAATAGGATGAGAAATATTTTTGCAATAATCATTTGTTATGTCTCCGGAATGTCTATTTCGAATAGAGTGTAAAAAAACTGAGAATTTTTAATTAAAAAAAAAAAAATTAAGTTTAGAAAAAAATCAAATTTTAAAATTTTCTTAAAACTTGGGGTTTTTTTTGGACTCTAATAACGATTCTAAAATTAGATTTGTAATCAGCGATTCCAAACACCCTTCGAGAGTAATAAATTTCAAAAATTCCCTAGTTACAAATTTCATAAAAATTTATTAAAATTAAAAAAAAAAAAAATTCTGTATATTGTATCCGCTATTTTGAATATTTAAAATCTAATTTTAAATTCGAAATAATCGATCCAAAAAAAAAACTGCGCGGTAAAAAGTTTGAAGTGATATTTTTCAATTTTAAAAATTTTATACACTAAATTAAGAAATTGATAGAAATATTCAACTACATTGTAATTTTGAAATTTATTTTTTTCAATAATCCTAAATCTTGTAGTCTAAATATTTTTGAAGCAAAATATTACAAAATTTAAGTTCTCTGATGGAATAAATCAATATATGAAAAGTTTTAGAACTAACAATATAACCTGAAGGAAATTCAAAATTTTTTATTTAAAAATTTTCAGTATTTTTTGATATAATATTTAAAAAAACAAATTTTTGAAAACACTCTCAAAATGGCTTGTTTAAAAAATTGTTCTCATACCTTAAATTAAATTGTAGAAATGCCTTAAACTTAATTGACAAAAAAATTTTTTTCTGTAAATAACGAGGTGAAATCATTGAAAAAACTAGTTAAAAAAAATTATTTCAACTATTATTTTATATAATGTACAGTAAAAAAAATAAAAAAAAACTGTGACTTAATGTTTTAATTTTGCAACAAATCGTCGTAATTATTAATTTTATATAAATTGAAATATGTCTGTGTTTGTGTGTTTGTGTGTGTGAATTAATAAACTCAAAATTGAAACCAGGCAAATCAGTAAATTAATAAAATCTGACAAAAATTTTTTTAAATAAAATTCTTATATAAATTATTTGTTTTTAAATTAAATTTTCAATTTTTGATAAATTGTTAACATTCTATGAAATTTTTTTTCGTTTGAATGACAAAATTTTTGACAAATTTTGTAATATTAAAAAAAGTCTTGTGATAAAATTTTCAATAATATTCTAACAAATAAATTTTTGAAAAATGTTTTAATAAAAATTAATTTTTATTTGTCAATTTTTAAGGAAAAATTATTTTTCATTAATTAAAATACAGTACTATATTTAAAAAAGAAGTAAAAGCCTCTGATTATATAATTAGAAATACAAAAGTAAATTATTATTTTTATTGAAAAAAAAAAAATTTGATTATAAAAGCATCAGCTTGCTTGTTTGATTGTTAGTAAATTCTAATTTATTTTCTTTTTTAAAATTTTATTTATCATTTTAACAGGTGCAGCAGCCAATCTCCGCAAGGAAGTTATTAGAAACAAGATCAGGGCCATTGGAAAGATGGCGCGTGTCTTCTCCGTTCTCAGGTCAGTGTGAATGTGAATTGCAAAACAACTGATATTATTTAAACTCACCCAGCATAAGCTGATCCTTTTGAGGTCTTATTATTCTTTTAAGTGACACATTTATGTATACGAATTGTATTAGAACTATATAGCCATGAACTTTACTCTTAGAATTTTGACGAGATTCTCTTTCTCTCTCTTTCTATCTCTATCTATCTCTTCATCGTTCAAGGACGATAGACATTATTATATTATAATGAAAGATTTTTAAATATACAACAATATTCCAATTTTTTTCTTTTTTAGACATTCAAAATATTTAATATTTCACTTAAATAGGTCATGTAAAAATTATTCTATTATAATATTATCAGAATGAAAAAAATCGAAAGAAACATTATTTATTTACTAGCAAAATTAAACGCGCGCAAGTGCGTCAAATTGAGTATTTAATTGTTTGTTATAAAGAAATTAAAGATTTAAATTATAAATAATAATTTAATTTTTTAGAATATTATTACATATTAAATGATAATAATGAAAATTATATGTTTACAGGCCTCGGATTATACGACTTTTTCCGAATTTTTTCAAAAATACGACTTTTATCGACTTATTTTAATAAAATGCGATATTTTCTTTTTACATTTGAAAAAAAATGTAAATAAAATACATTTTTTTAGTATAAAATGTAGATCTTCTTCAGATCTTCTTCAATTCAATTATTTAACAAATTTTAAACTAAAATGATTCTTCACTAAATTAATTATTTTTAATAATTTTAATTAAATACATCACAAATTCAATTATATCAAAATTATTTTTCAATTAAAATTTTTATGAAATTTAACAATTGTTTATAATTTAAAAAAAAAATATCACAATAAAATTGAATTATTTTTTAAAAATTTCAATTCAAAATAAACTAAAGTTCAATTATTACCCGAAATTTTAATTCAAAATCAATTAAAAATCCAATAATTATCCAAAATTTTCAATTTAAAATTTAATTATTTACCAAGTTTTCAATTTAAAATGAAATAAAATTCAATTATTTTCTAAAATTTCCATTCAAAATTAGTTATCCAAATTTTCAATCAAAAATGAACTTAAATTAAATTATTATCCAAAATTTCAATTAAAATTCAATTATTTCCCAAAATTTTCAATTCAAAATGAACTGAAATTCAATTATTTTCCAAATTTAAAATCAAATAAAATTTCATTATTCTCAAAAATTTGAATTCAAAATTAATTGAATTTCCAATAATTTGAATTTAAAAGCATCTAAAATTTAATTATTTCTAAAATTTTCCTTTGAAAATTTTTTTTTGAAATTTAATGATTTCAATTATAACTCTAAGGAAATTCAATTATTTTTAACTATTTTAATAATATTCTTTGAAAATTGAACTATCTGAAACTATTTTTCAATTAAAAATGATTTTCAAATTATTGTATTTTGTCCGCATTTTCTAATAAATTTTTAGTGAAATCATCTAAAATTTTAATTACAAAACACTTAAAATTTCAATTAATTTCAAAAATCTCAATTTTAAATCTTTGAAAAATCAATTAAATTTAAAAAATGTTTTCCAAAAATTGTTTGATAAATTATTTTTAGTTCTGTAAAATTTAATAATTGTTTGAAAATTAACAATATCTTTTGAAATTTAATTATTTCTAAAAATTTCAACTTTAACCCTTCGAAAAGGATTATTATTAAAAAAAAAATTTTTTATTTAAAAATCTGTAAAATATTTTTGTTAAAATAAAAAACAAATCCACTTTTTTTTGGAATATAAATCGACTAAAACGACTTTTTGTGTCTTTAAGTTGATTCGAGGCCTGTGTTTTTATAATTAATATTTAATAGGTATTCGTTGGCCCCTGGTACCTTAAAAATAAATTTTTAAAAATAAATTTTTTCAAATTACTATCTTGTACGAAATTTCCTGGCGCATCTTTTTTCTCATCATAAATTTTTTGTATTTGTATACAATTTTTGAATCAATATACAACTTTAAAAAAAATTTCGTTGTGTACTTCAGCTTCGTGAATTGAATTTTCGAATTTGGAATTTTAAAGAAACTTATTCCGAAATTTGGAAACACAATTATACAACTTTGGCAAAAATAAGAAAAAGAATTGTCAAAATTTGACACGTCATAAGAGTACTATTCAAAAAAACACGTGAAATCAAAAAAAGGCAACTTCAAGTTAGGACAGAAGGACAGACCAAGCATTTTATTATTATATAATTACATTTATCGTTAATTAGGACGCATGAATTTCTCATTAAAAAAAATCAATGATTAGAAATTTTTATTTTAAAGAATTTTTTAGATATCATTTTTTTAGACGAATTTTCATTTTTTACGAATTAACATTTGATAGAATTTCTTTTTAAACGAAATTTTATAAAAAAATGATTAATAAATTATACTTACAACAAATTAACATCTTACTATTATAAAAGTATGTAAAATTTAATTTAATTCAAAACTTTTTGTTATATAAAGTAAAAATTAATTTTTTGAATTTAAATAATAATAATAATAATAATAATAATAATAATAATAATTGGAAGATTTTTTATTATTCACGATCCAATTATATTTTTTCAGGGAAGAAAGCGAGAGTGTTTTGCAGCTTAAAGGACTTACACCGACAGGATCTCTCCCACTAGGCGCTTTATCCGGAGGAAAAACATCTTTGAAAAATGGTAAATTTTCTATGAAACATTTATGAAATATTTTTTTTATTGATTAGAAATGGAAATTGATGATATTACATAAATTTATATAAAGCCTCGAAGGGTACGATTTTTTCCAATTTTTTTTTTAAAGAAAAAGAAAAAATGCAACTCATTTCAACTTCAATAGTATAAAATGGGTCTAATCGATTTTTTTAAATTCAAGTAGTATTTTTTTTATTTCAAATTTAGCAAAAATATCTTATGTTAAAAAATTAATCTTTATCATTCCACTAAAATGCATTTAAAATTTATATTGTTCTTTTTTATAATTTAAATTACGAAACTATAGAAATTGGACTTTTATTCAAATATTGTTTGTTGGATTCTTGCTTAAACATTTTTTTAAGTATAATATCAGTTTTTTGATCAATTTTTTTCATGTTTTCTCGATTGTCAATATGCAATTAGGAAAAAAAAAATTATTTTACCTTGAAAAATGAAAGTATATATGACGCGTTCTGAAGAAAGGGACATATGAAGCAAACAAATTATAGGTTATGTTTATGATAATTTGGCGAGTGAAAATAAAAACAAAGAGCTAGGATCAATTCTTAATAAAAATGTTTAAAGTCTTCATTATTTTTAAAATATTCAATAATAACTGATTTTAATTTTAAAAGTAAAACCAAAATAAACATAACCTATAATTTTTTTTTTTTTTGCTTTTTTTAAAAAAACTTTCTTCTGGAAACATGGACAATTTATATAAAATCGGCCAACATACCAAGGATCTTATAAATTTCCTAAATCCAAAAGAATTTTTGGAAACCATGCAAAAACGCAATCGCAAAATTAGAAATACGAAAGTAATATAATGACAGCTTTATTACGCCCTGCCGCCGTTAGATGGCAGAAGGAAGCAAGGAGCACAAAGTCACAGCTGTTATATTATATTACTTTCCTAATTTTCGTTTTTCAATCGCGTTTTTGTATAGATTTGCACAATCTTTCGGATTTAGAAAATTTGTAAGATAAGAATTTTTGGTATGTTGGCCGATTTTGTAAAAAGTATACATGTTTCGAGAAAAAAAAGTATTTTAAAATCAATGTTTATCATTTTCACGTTCAGTGCCAATAATTAAAAATCTCTCTTTGCCAAAGAATTTCAAAGACCGTTGAACACTCTTAAGTGAATTATTAAGAATAAAATAAATTTTTTTTTTATTAATTATACAGAAAAAAAATTAATAAAATCGTTTTTATCGTTATTTTTTTTTAGCGCTGCAAGGCTTCTCGCCGAATCACAAGATTACCTCATTCGCCGAAGCTAAAGGGTTAGATGCAATTAATGAAAGAATGCCACCACGAAGGGATGCTCCTCCAACGCCAGCCATCGAGGAACGACCTGTAGAAAATTCACCCGCTGACGCTGGAGAAAGGCGGGACCATAACGGGCCACAACAACAATCGTGAGCCTCGTCCAAACGAGGTTTGTACATGTTTTTTCCATTTTCATATATAGTCAAAAAATTGCCCTTATTTTCCCGTATAAAAATGATTTTATTGCCGTGTATCTCCAGCGTTTCTGACTTATATATTTTTATAGCTTTCATATAATAATAAAAAGAAAGACTTGATATGAAGTCTAAAAACTTTTAAAGTATCTCAAGAAATTATAAAAAAAAAGAAAATTTTTTTACACTAGGCGAAAAATTTTTGAAATTCAATGTTTCTTTTTTTACTTGAAACATAATAAAATTTAAAATTTAAGATTTTAGCAAAAGAAAAAATTATATATGTAGTAAAAATTAATTAAAATAATACCAAAAAGAAACTTGATTAAAACAGTTCAAAATTCGGTTAAGGTAACCGAATAACCTTAACAAAATTATTTTTTTTTTAATTTCAAAATATTTAGCCTAACAGTATTAAATTTAATTTGTATAAATAAAAAATATCTTTTTCATCTCCACTTGTACAAACTTTTCATAATGCAAAATTTACATTAAATTTTATACTTATAAATATAATAATATTAATTCAAACAAGTTACGAAAAGTCGACTTTAAACTCATAAAGGTATATCATTTTTATGAATATATTCTTTTATACATATAAGGAATTTCACTTAAAGCGATCAAGGTGAAAAAACGTTTCTATTAAAGTAATAATATTAATATTTACTATTACAGGGTGTCTAACGGTCAGGGAAAGTCAGGGAATTTCAGAAAATTTCATTCAAAGTCAGGAAAATTTCTGTAAATTTCTACAAAAATTAAAATTTTTTAATCTAAAAAAACTTGAATGATTTTTATTACCATTTGTTACTACCATTAGAAATTAATTTATTGTTAAATATGTCAGTAACCGCATGTTTTTGTCCAAAGAAAGCAGAAATAGGGTTATTAAAAAGTCAGGGAAAAATCAAAAAATGTCAGGGAGGAGTCAGGGAAAAGTGAGGGAATTTTTTTCTCAATTCTTGTTAGACACCCTGTATTAAATAAAAAAAGATGTCAACTATTTACGAATTATTATTATAATTTAGAATATAATATAACAAATACGCGTGCTCTTAGACACGTACAATATCTTCCACTTGTATCAATATGTATATTAATATTATTGATAAGAAAAACTTCTATAAATGCGAATAATCGTAACTTTTGTAACACAACAGCAACTCATATTAAATATCATAATTGAAATTTTCTCTTGGGAAGAAGTTAAATATACGAATTTTATTCTCAACTATAACAGTGTTTAATTATGAACAACATTAGGTATGAAAATATAATTCAACTATTGCGTTCTAATAATTGTAATAATATTTAAAACATTCAACGAAAAATATAAAAAAAAATACTTCAGGATTTTTATTTTCATGTAACGAAAAGTCGATTTAAAAAAGTTATCGCAGATTTAGAGAAATAAGTAAAATTAAAAGCACTTAATTTTATAAAAAAAAAAAAATCATATATCCTCCTTAATATTTGGGGCATTCTATTTTAAAATTATACCCCTATTCTAAACAATTGACAATATAAGACAATTTTTAAATAATTATTTCTCCTATGTAATTAAATCAAAATACTTTTACAATGAGTAGTTTCGAAAAGAGAAATTTCTATACTTTATTATTGTAAAAAAAAGTTTTTTTAAATATTTAATTAGTATAAAAAATTTAGTTTGAAGGTTAAAATTCTAAATATTTTAAAACACGTTGTCTCCGATTTTGACAAAATCTATATCGAAAGAAAGTTTAAATATTCTACTTTTTATTTACGTAAAATTTATAATTGACATTTTAGAGGATTTTGAGAAATTAATTAAAATTCTCAGACGTTTCAGAGGTTGAAACGAGTTGAAATTTGTAAGATTTGAGTACAATCGTTAGAATACACCCAGGTGCGAATTTCGGTCGGCCGCCAGAGTTGGTTCGTCGGCCCATGGTCGGCCCAACTCTGGCTGCCGACCGGTCGGCAGCCAGAGTTGGGCCGACCATGGTAAATATTTGCACCCAAAGTTGGGCCGACTATGGCTGCCGACGTCGGCAGTCACAGTTGGGCCGACCATTGCAGCCATAGTTGGGCCGACTATGGGGGATTATGGTCGGCACAACCTTGGCAGCCATAGTTGGGCCAACCTTGGCTGCCATAGTTGGGCCGACCAGGGGGGGTAATGGTCGGTCCAACTATGGCAGCCACAGTTGGGCCAACCATGGCTGCCATAGTTGGGCCGACCATGGGGGTAATGGTCGGCACAACCTTGGCAGCCATGGTTGGCCCAACTGTGGCTGCCATAGTTGGGCCGACCATTCTTCCCCATAGTCGGTCCAACTATGGCAGCCACAGTTGGGCCGACTAAGGGGAAAATGGTTGGCACAACCTTGGCAGCCATAGTTGGGCCAACCTTGGCTGCCATAGTTGGGCCGACCATGGGGGACAATGGTCGGTACGACCTTGGCAGCCAAGGTCGGTCCAACCTTGGCTGCCATAGTTGGGCCGACCATCATAAAGTAAATTTCTCTCCTACCATTGACAAATGTAAAATGTTTTTGTTAATTTACTTGTAATTGATTAATTTAAAAAGAAAAAAGGTTATATGTGATTAATTTATTATTTTGAATTACTAACTTTAATTTTTTTCAAGCTGTAGCTTATAACATTTATTTTTCTCCGTGACTCATATGTCATTGCGTAGTGTAGTGGTTAGCGTATTAGACTGCGGTGCGTTAGGTTGCGAGTTCGATCCCTGCGAGCGTTAAAAATTTTAATTTGTATATATGTATGTTTACGATTGCGTTTAGTGTTTAAGTATATAAAATAAATGTATAATGAATTTAAAATGATTACTAATATATGTTATTTGTATAACAAATTTTTATATTTTAATGTTTATGGTCGGCAAAATTTTAGCTGCCAAGGTTGGCCCAACCATGGCAGCCATAGTCGGGCCGACTATGGCTGCCGACCGTCAAGTTGGATGGTCGGCAGCCAAGGTCGGCCCAACTATGGTACCCATAGTTGGCCCGACTTAGTCGACCATAGGTCGGCCGACGTTATCAATTCGCTAGTTGGCCCGACCATCGGCAGCCATAGTCGGGCCGACCAAGGCTGCCATAGTTGGGCCGACTATCATAGCCGACGGTCGGCAGCCATAGTTGGGCCGACCTCGGCTGCCTTAGTCGGGCCGACTATGGCTGCCGACCGTCAAGTTGGATGGTCGGCAGCCAAGGTTGGCCCAACTATGGCTGCCATGGTCGGCCCGACTATGGCTGCCGACCGTCGGCAAGGATGGTCGGCCCAACTAGGGCAGCCTTGGTCGGCCCGACTATGGTACCCATAGTCGGTCCAACTTAGTCGACCATAGGTCGGCCGACGTTATCAATTCGCTAGTTGGCCCGACCTCTGGCTGCCCGAGGTGGGCCGACCATGCACATGGTCGGCCCGACCATGGGCCGACCGACAATTCGCACCTGGGCATCGGCATTTATTTTTACGATCTCTAATGTCAAAGAAATAATTTAAGGTTAATGAAAATAAAATTTAAAAACAAATTCCACTTTGTTAGGTAAATAAGTGGTTCTCAATTCATACAAATTTCAACCCGTTTTTAACTATGAAATGTCTAAGAATTTTAATTAATTTTTCAAAATCCTCTAAAATGTCCATTATAAACTTTTCGGAAATAAAAAGTAAAATATTTAAGTTTTCGACATAGATTTTGTTAAAATCGGAGACAACGTGTTCTGAGATATTTAGAAGTTTAACCTTCAAACTAAATTTTTTATACTAATTAAATATTAAAAAAAAAAAATTTTTTACAATAATAAAGTTTAGAAATTTTACTTTCGAAACTACTTATTCCATAAGTAATTTGATTTAATCGAATAAGAGAAATAATTATTTAAAAATTGTATTATATTTTCAATTGTTTTTTAGGGGTATAACTTTAAATTAGAATGCCTCATTTACAATAACGATCTGTGTTTCAATTATTCAGTTTTTTATTAACGGAAATTTATTTTTTCATCCACAGATTGGTCAAAATTATTATGAAAAATTAAATAATCAAAGCACACTAATAATTTGCAATATAAATTATTAGAGTAAAAGAAAATACTCAAAAATGGATACATTAATTTCAAGAAGTCCACTAGCAACCGTACAGTTTATACCAGTTTTCCATTATTTGAATCTACTTAGTGATTTTTTGTTCACTGAAAAAAAATTAATGACGGAGAATAAAAATAAACAAATTGCAATTGTTAATGCACTTTATGAATATTTGGAAGATCATCATGACAATAAAACTATGCAGGTAAAATTAATTCGCTATTTACTACAAGGCAGTGATCTGTACGGCGAAAAAGATAATGAAGAAGTTGATGAAATTTTCGTTAATGCAATGTTTGAATACATAATTAGTTCTCTTGTATTTGACAAATATGGAAATGTTTATGGATTTTTGGCCGAAACAATTCGTAAGGTAGTAAGTTTAAAATATCATTATGTTTTAAAGGGAATTAAGGAAACACTAGAAAATGCAATATTCGAAAATGAATATGGATCTACCTCAGTTCTTACTAAATTAGCAGTCAATAGAATATATACAGATATAATTTTGCCAATATTTCCTCAACCAAAGACTAATGTTAGTATTTTGTCTCTTGATTATATTTTTGCACAAGCTGGTTCGATGTTTCTTCGACGTGGAAGAATAAAAAATACCTACTATTCTAATATCGAAAACAATAATTCAAGATACTCTCAAGAAAACTTGTTTGATGAATATTTGACAATAGGTCACATAATTAGGAATTTACTTGACTATAAGAAAATAGATCCTCTAATTTTGAGAGTTTTTGCTCTACCAGCTCTTTTCTATTATATTTTTCCTGAAGATAAAGTAAAATATGAAAGCATAACAAATTTAATTTTTGATCCTCATCATTGGGAAATGGCTTTTCATCAGTTTCAGGAATATGTAACCAGTGTTTTTGACCAAATAGAAGATCAATTAAAGAATGACTATATATATAAACTTCATTTAGGTTTTTCTCATTTTCAAAATCGGGCTTCGATGGCAAAATCCATTGTAGATTCAAACTGCAATTTTTTGAGTGATGAACTTAAAGAGAGTAAAATTGTTGATTATGTACAACTTTCCGATAATTTTAAATGTAGTCCTACAGTTGTTTTACCCAACCTTAATGATTTGTATAAGGATCAAATTCATAATTTGGCTGAAATATATGGGAATTATGATTTAGAAATAACAAAGCAATGTTTTAAGCAATATTTATTTGATGACCTTCATGATATTGTTATAAATTTGGTTGTTACTAACAATGAACTGATAAATGGTAGTTCTAATGATTTGCAATATGTATCCTATGATTTGCTTGAATTTTATTACAATAAGAACGAAACTTCAAATTACTATGCTTTAATACGAAAAAACTATACTGTTACACTTATTAAAGAGATTGATGATCCAGAACACTTTGAGCATCAAATTGGTCCATCTCTTAATAATTTTAAAGAATTTGCAACGAGAATCACTTTAAAGTTTGCTAATGAAGAAATAACTGAACTCTGTGAAGAATTAATTAAGTACAAAAAAGAACGATTCAAGTCATATTTAAATTTATTTAACTACAGTTTAAGAAATTATGAGTGGTGGAAGGAATTTGGATTGTCACTAGTGCCATTTTATCCTTGTTTATCAAAAATTTTTAACTATCATAATAATGAGGAAAACATGTGTGAAACAAATAACGTAAAATTCTTAAATAAATTTCCAGAAGATATATCTTCACTTATAACAAATTCAAATATGCAACTTCTTTTGTCTTCTTTTGGTGTAAATATCAAAACAATATTTATAAAGGACTTGATTAATGAAATAGTAGTGTCGTATAATGTATCTGAAGCTTCACCATATAGTGAAACTAATATCACATTGTTTAAACAAGTTTCTTTACATGTAGAAGAGCCTAAATTTGAAACAATTTCTATAACTCAAAGAAGTATTGAATTAGTAATATTAATTATTTCTTATTTAAAAGAAAAGATTAATTATAATTTTACATCTGTCAGTTATATTTTAAGAAAAATGAATTATTTGCAATATAACTTTTTAAATGCCGTCGCTAATGTTGGTGAAAATGATAGTAAAACATTGTTTGTAAATGCTCTGAAACTTTATACTGGTTATGGATACAAGTTTATAAACATTTATGAAACAGCTATTGCATCATTAAGAACTGATTATGAGATTGAAGAGAAAATATTTATTACACTAATTGCCGATTCTCCTGAAAATAAGAAAACATATATTAAATTAAATAATGCGAGTTTGACATTTGAAACAAATAATTTTATATATGAAATTAATAACCAGCTGCGAGGAAATAATAAAAGACTTGGATTTTATGGTATATGGAATCATCACGATAATGAAAAATGTGCGGATGATAAATATTTAAAAGAAACGAAACATTCTAATGAGTGCTTAAGACATTGGCGTTTCATGAAACAACTTAGTCTTAAAGAGGGAGCAGTACAATTACTAAAGGATAATGTTTTTGTCGATGGAAAACATATTGCAAATGAGGAAGAAATTCGTAGTGAATTGAAGAAGTATACCTTACCAGATGACACTATATTTTTAACTTTCTTTATCAAAGAATGGATACATGATGATAAAAAGTTTAAAGAATCTGATTGGAGTAAAATCTGTACAATTGACAATCCTGATCTTTTGAGTAAACTGAGGTACGATGGACTTTTAGAAAAAAACAATCTAACAATCACTGATGGAGAATATAAAATCAATTTACATTATACCTATAGAGAAAGACGTAAGATAGAAGAAGGAACATCGATAGAAAATATAATTAAAAATTTCAATGATCAGAAAGCAGGTTTTTCGGTGTCATTTGAAGATTACTATGCTATACGAAATTTTGTGACATCAGGATATGAAAGAATAACTGGAGACACACGTGAAGCGAAACTAATGAAACTTGCCCTATATAAATTATCTATAAGAGAATCTGACGATTTACTAGAGGAATTTGAATGGACATTATTTCGAGTAGAATTAAAACCAATGAATGTTGTTAATAAAGAATTATATGTGGGAAATCGAATTATTTTCCAAAAATTTACACTAAACTCATTAAGTATAACATCTGCCACAAGATTTTCTGCACATGCAGCTTACGGTTTTATAAATATTATTTATGTAATGACATTTAGTGGTCCTTATTTTAGAGCAACAATCAAAACAGAGGTCGACGAGATTGGATCTTGTAATGAAAAGAAAGTAATTCTTTTACCTGGTTATGAATTTGAAATTATGTCAATTTTAGAAGTGGAAATGGAAGGAATGGGTAAAGTTTTAAAACTAGTTTTAAATTTTGTACCTGAAAGTGTTGGAAAGCATGAATATTATAAAAATATAATGAGAGAAATAACAAAAATCAAGTTGTAAAATGCGTTATTTGTTGTATCAAATGAATTTTCTTTTGTATATTTAATAAACTATTTATAACTATAAGTCAATAAATTATTATATATAATTTTAAAAATCTTAAATTTTTTACATGGGAATAAAAAACGAGAGTAAAATGTTTTTAATAAATAAAATAAAGTTGTTCATATGTTGTTTAATTAATGTTAATTGTTATGTCAATCGTAACGCGTACCTACTTGTTCCTTAGTTCTCTTTTTGATGTAAAATAAAAAAATTTGTTAATTAAAGTAGATACGCAGTTAACAAAAAATTTGTTTCGCTCAAGAATAAAAAATTTCATTTGGTCACGCATCGACTTTTAAACTCTTCATAAAATGATATTTTCGTATGACTTGCTGTTATTAACAAACATTATTTTTCGTTTTTTTTAAATACTAATGAGAATTCATTGCTTTGTTACATTGTATTTCCTTAAAAAAGTTTCATTAGGTACATGTTAGTCATGCAAATAAATTAATTTTTAAATGTATTTAAAACCGAAATATGAGGCAACGGTATATGAAAACTTTTCTTTATTTTTCATTCAATTCTTTACATAACCTCACTTTTTTTTAAGGAAATTTTACAATTTTAACACAGTAACTCAAATGACGAAGTAATGGTTTCAATTTTGACTAGTTCAGTCAAGCGATAGAATCTCCTTAAGGCCATGTGGAAAATTCTTACGTGACCTAGTATGGGAAAATGTGTTTTACGAAAACCAAACTTTTTCTAAAATGAGAAAAGATTTTTGTCCAAAATTTTGAGGGATAATAAATTTGGGTACAAGGAATTTCGCTGTTCTCTGAAAAATACATAATTTTGCGTTAAATTATAAAAAAATAAAGTTTTAAAAGTTTAAAATATAAAAATAACATAAAAATATTTGTATCTTCTCAAAAAAATTGAGTTATTTAAAAAATTTTTTGTTTCATAGGTTAGGTTTATTCTTCTATTTTTAGGGAAAGATTTTCATGGCTCATCTTTAGTAAACATCCCTCTAAAAGCTATAACCCTAAAAGTAAATAAAAATTAAAGTAATTTTTGAGATCATATCGTTGTTTAAAAAGAAAAGAATTACAAATCAACATAATAATAAACAATTTACTTTTCTCAAATTCAGACTTGATTTTCATAATCATCAAATAATTCCAATTCAAAAATTAACCCCTAGAATATACCTCCTAAAGTAAAAACTACTCCTAGTTTTATTACGATTAATAAAAATAGAAATTTAACAATTTTTTTTTGAAAAAGTTGACCTAACCTCCTGAAAATGACTACATGGGGGTTTTTGGGGTCGATGATTATGAATCCGAGGTTAGTTTTTAAAAATATAAAATGGCGGATCCAATATGGCGGCCGAGAAAATTAAAACTTGAGCTAAGCTCTTGAAAATGACTTCTCGGGGGTTTTTGGGGTCGCTCATTACGAATTCGAGGTTAGTTTTTAAAAATACAAAATGGCGGCCAAAAAAAATTAAAAACTATAATAAAATACATTATTTTACTATTTATTGCTTTATTATTTTTGCGTTAAATTATAGTAAATGAGAATAAACAGCGAGATTCCTTGTACAAAAACAAAAATTTTGTTGCAAAAATAAATAAAATAAAATGCATTCTGTTTCAGAATATAAAAATCGGACATAGGTCCTCGAGCGCTCGCCATAGGTATAACCACAAAAAACCAATGCTCGTCTCTACCCAGATGTTAGACTGTAGCGCAAAATCCACCAAGTCAACAAAACATCGTCGAAAGTCAAGAGTGAGCAACAACAGTCATCATTATCATCAAAAAAAAAAAAAAAAAAAAATTAAATTAAAAAAAAGTTTAAAAAAAAAAATGCATCACTACGACATCACAAGACGCATAATATATACATACACATAATATGCGAAGCATACAGTAGAGAAGAAAAAAGCGTACGTGTAAATGGATAGTATTGTCTATACCATACTATCTATTCATCTATTCTCATCCTTAAACGTTATAATTCATAAATGTGCGTTCGTAATTTTTTTCCACACAAATAACTTTTTTTTTCTTTCTCGAAAACACAATATTACATATAAATCATTAAATACTTGCGAGAAAATAAATATTATTTTTTATCATTTTAAATTTTATCAAGTTTAGAAAGAGGAGAAGGGGAATTGAATGTTATTGGTAATTGAATTTTAGGAAAAAGGTGAATTTTTGTCTAGATAAAAATTTAGTGATTGACGATCACGTACGCGTATTCAAGCACTTATTCGCATTTTTTTTTTATTATTTATTTTTTTTTTTTTTGCAAATTGTATAGCATTGTTTACAAAGAATGCGAATATATAAGTGCGTTAACGTGAATGCGCGTACGTGATCTTTTTATCTTCTTTCACTACTTTTTTTTTCATGTGCAAAAAAAATTTTCCCCATCTTCCTAAAAATGCATTTACTTGCAAGCATTTATTCTCGACGAAACTTTATATTTTAGAATTTTTTAATAAAATATATTTTTTATTAAATTTTCTTTATTTTGTCGCTTATTGAAATAATTTATCAGTTAATATATTTTTTTTTTGAAAATTCTCATCATTGAGAGAATTTATATTATTAATAAAAAAAAAAATAAATTTATTTTTATCAAAGTATTTATGATTTTTGTCTCTGTATATTATAATTGAGTTTTCGGAATTTAAAAAAAATTGAAAAGGATAGTTTTTACGAACGTATGTTTATGAGAAAATGAGAGCCAAGTAGCTATGATGATCTTCGCCAAAAATAGCAGCTGGTCTGCGAAAACAATATTGGCGAAGCTTCCGATTTATAATTTCTAGATTCTTAAATTCCGCCCTTAGGTTGATGGTGCAAGGGCATCGTCACAATTCGGGGTTGATTATATAACTTAACATTAAGTCAAATTAAGTCTTAGTATAAGTCGTAAATTATGTCTGAAAAAAAAATTTATTTAATATCATCTCGTAAAAAACATAATTTTATAAAATATAAAATATTCATACATATAAATATATAAATATATTAACAGAAAATAAAAAGAAATGAGCGCACATGACCTATGCGTCATAATTTTTTTTTTAATTTTTTTAATTTTGAAAAAAAATTAATAGCATCACGTCTAGCGCATCGCCTTTTTCAAAGTTGCAAGATCATTGCATCAGCCAATTTGCAATATTATTATTATTTTTTTTTTTTTAATTACTATTATTATTATTATTATTATTATTATTATTATTAGGAAAAAGCGCTCTTGCACTGATTTGACAACTTAAATTTTAGAACTACATATTTCAGTATTGAATTGTCAAATCAAAAAGGAAATTTAATTTCTCTTTTTGCAGACTGCGTCAAATTTGGTGTGTCTATAAATGTTATATACTTCTATTTAAGACTGTAATTGAATATAAACGAATTCAATTGCAGTGTAAATCCAATCCTTTTTATAATCTCTTACGTGGAATTTATATAGAAAAAAAAAAAAAAAAATATCGAAACTTCATAATATGCATGTCTTATACATTCATTACAGAATATAAAGTCAAATGTTATAATTAATTTTTTTTTATGAATTTTATTCTAAGAATAGTTTTCATTTTCTTTAAATATATTCAAGATTTTTAAAAAAATTTTAACTAGAATTAAATTATTTTTTTTTAATATAAAAATGAAAAATTTTAAATATCGAATAATTTTGACACATTTAAAAAAATATATACATATATATTGTGGAAATATTTTTCTTGCTCTTTATAAACTACATTTGCTTAAATAGAAATTTTTATATAAGATCGCAATATTAAAAAAAAAAAAAATTATATACAAATTTAAAAATTATAACTCACAAATTCCTAACCTTTTTGTCTGATATACAAATATTGTCATTGAAAAATTTCTCTCATCTTTCTCAAAATAATAATTAAAATTTTTATCAAAAAAAAAAAAAAAAGAAAAAAAAATATTGCGCAATAAAAATCTAAAAATTTATAATAGCTTTCAATTTTCAGTTACTTTTTTTTTAATAATTCAATTTGAAATAGACAGTTATTTAGTTGTCACATAATATTGTATACGAATTGTTTTTTATTTACTGGGAGCGATTCACTTTTGATATCAATAAACTAGTAATACTTTTATATGAAAGATCGTATTAATCAAAAAAAAAAAAAAAAATTACTAAGAAAACTTTACCAAAAGCTTTGTATTAGCTGAACTAATACTTCAATCCGTGAAGTAACGGAACTTTTCTTCACTTATAAGCAAACTCAAACATATAAAAAAAAAAATAAATAAAAAACTTTTCGAAGCGCCAAAAATTACTTTATACTTTTATAAAAACAAAAAACTCGTGCGAAAATTTTAATCTGAAAAACACCAGTGAACTTGTGAATCAAGTTCTTTGTTCCAATTGAACCACATAAGGTTTTAAAGAATCTCACATTTTGCTTTAATTTTTTTTTCACATTAAAAAAAAAAAAAGTGTTCCTCTCTTTTATTTTTCTTTTGAAAACTATTTCCTGACTCGAGATTGTTCATTTTACTATCGATTCAATCCGAGAACAATTAAAAAAATCTATTGGCATGACCAACGGAAAACAGTGCTTTGCCAATAGTCACAAAAATCTTTGGCGAATTTAATCAAGTACGCAGTTTTTAAATAAATATACATATATAAATAAATGAATATAAATAAATATATATATATATATACATAAATATATAAGTATAGAATATACTATACAAAAAAAAAATATAGAAATTAAAGTCCGCATATGGCGGCGCGCTGGACGATGGCTATATATGGAAGAATCTCAAAAAAAAGAAAAAAAAAAAAAAACTTTTAAAATAATCTCAATTTCATAAAATAATTCACAAATTCGTAATATATTGTATTGTCTTGTAATTTTTAATGAAAAATTTAAAACCAATAATTTTTGAGCTTTTAATCATCGCTACGTTACGGAACTTCATAAATTTTGTACAAAAAAAAAAAAAAACTAATAAATTCAAGCAAAAAAAAAAAATGCGAAAATTAAAAAAATTCCAAAAACTTCGAAACGCTTAGTGGAC